GCTAAAACTGTAAAGCATTAATTACAATAAATATCAAGGATGACGAATTTCACAGCTTATATTATCAATATATTTATGTTTACTGCATTGTGATATTCATCTACCACACRAAAAAAACTCTGAATATAAGACCCTGTACGTAGCTCATTATTAGTCAGAATGAATTGTCCTACTACCTCGCATTTGCATTCTATGATCGGTAGAAGTGTCACTCAAATGCATTAATATTTAGTAAATATGATAATCACGGCATTTATTTCCATTTTAAAAACAAAATACTCAGGGGCCATCGAATTGTTTACCGTGATTAAGGTTATTATAATAAATGATAAAAGCATCTATATGCTATATCTTTCAAAATAATATGGAGCATCTTTCGCTAATAATCTATCACTGTTGTGTTTCTTCCGACCCTTAAAACGGACATCGACAGATTGAAYTGGATTTCATAAATTTCCAATAATGATTTACAAAGCATTTATTTTCGTTAAACATCAATATTTTCTGCACAATTATTGCCATTTAACGGTGGGTATCATTTAAGTATTTAACGAACCATTTTTCTTTTAGTCTTCAAGACTTCAGTGCACATATTTCAGTTCTAGTTTAACCAGTCAGTAGGTAACATACTTATTAATTTTTCTTGTCCAATCCATTACCATTTTAGAGGGTTTTTCCAATATGGACATAAATATATGAATCCAATCAATTTATGAAATGTTAACCCACTGTTTGGTGCAAATCAGTTATATTAAGAAACTGCTTCCGTGAAAATTTTGTTACTCAATAGCCTTTTTTTGTATATAAAAAAAATGGTTATACACTCCCCATTGCGAATTTATTTTATTTTTAATACCTGTGTTTCGGTAACACGTTTATGACAAGCGATGATTTATCTTCGTTACTTTTTAATAAACCTTTTTCTTCTAAAAACWGATCTGCATGCATTTGCTACTACTTTATTTTACTCACGAAACCCCATCACAGTCAATACAGTATAACATACCACAATAGTTACAATTAAAATATCATATTATATTAATAAAAATACCAAGAACAAACGACCATCATGAGCTAACTGAAGTCTGAATAATCCGAAAACACTACGTTTATAAACCGATAAATACCCGAATAGTGTGCATGCCAGCATCAATTTTTTATTCGTTTTTATATATTATTCAACAATCAAATACTCGTACCAATAATTTTCATTAAAAATGTTGAATCAAAAATTAACAGCTTCCCGAAAATATTCAGAATATTTAAATATTTAATCCAATAATTAAATCAAATGTGCTGTGGTATACGTCGATTGCTTTCGACATACGCAAATAAATGTTCAACAAATATGATCAGCTTCATTAATAAAAACTCGTGTCTATTGGCGACCGAGTCACATGATCGCCACCACTACACTCACTCCACATTTTTCTTGTATTATGATTTATATATTATTACTTAACCWAGYTTGTTTTTCCTATAYATGCTAAAACTTAGTAATTAAGACTTAATATTAAATATTATTTCATAGATATTTACATAACCTAGTTAATATTTTTAATATTACAATTTTTATAATTATGCATGATTCAACAGTGCCTGCATAATATTATTCAGGATTACTAAATATTATGTATTAATTATAATTTATTTTTACACAATTTCTCCAAAGATAAAAAAATGTTGTTTGATAGAWTTTATTGACACATCATGCAATAAATCTYGAACCACAGTCGATGATTTGTACATTGATCAGTCACTGGTTTATTATTTATTTGGTGTATTGAATCATAGAAATAGCTCAAATCATGGAAAAACTGAACACAGCTCTAAAATTTTTTATTAAAACGATTTATTCAAAACTTTAACTGAATAAATCAAAAAATAACTAAAAAAAAATCAATATTTGTGAAAACAAAGATTTTAATTTATTTACTTTTAAGTTTTTGATTTCCAAAGAAATAACTAATTTATATCATAATATTAATTTACAATTCAATAATAAATACAATAAATTACTATACACACTGCAGTATTTTGAAGAATATGATAATGCTTTAAAATAATGCTGACTAAAATTATTTKACCTTTATCGATTTTTTTCATTTTTKGAAAAATTAGTTTCACATCGTTTACGGACAAAGAAACGATAATAATAATATAATTTAATTTAATATAATGGATAAGCTCTTTTCTTTTCTTTCCGAAAACTTAGTCTATTCAGAACTTCTGTAGATGATGGTAAAAACATTGACAGAGTAGGAGTCAACAAAGATGCAATAATAATGACGAAATGATTATATTGTTAACAATAATAATCATTCACACTATTATTGTTACCCTTAAGCCATAATAATCTAATATGTGTTCTCAGCAATTGGTAATGACTATTAACACACATAACGAGAATTTTTCCATGCAACATCTATTTCATTGATTTGAGTTATAACAAAATATTATAACTTATTTAATAAATAATAACTATTATACTATAATTACTAAGCTTACACACAGTTGTGAAGTATAAGAACGTGTAATATTACTAATGTTTAAGCCAAATTTGGTTTTATATGTATGTTTATACAATATATTAGGTAGGTACCTATATTATACACATTAAATTGTTAGGTTATACTATATATATATATATATATAGCATAAATTATAATATTAGTAAAATAAAAAGAAATTCATGCTCCAAAGTTATAAAAAAATCGTGGCTAATAATAATTTAAATTAAAAATATCATGAACGGAATTTAAAATAAAATCTTACAGTTTTCTTGATCCCTATAATTTTTAAAACGTTTTATGACATTAGAAAAAAAAAAACAATTCTGCGTAAACTACCGATAGCCTTTAATTCATTACATCGAAATACGGATCGTCGTTATTTATAATATTATACGCGCATAGAGGTTTACCCACCTAATAATAATATCGTTTTTGATTTTATTTGTTTTATCGGCTGTGCGACCATTTGATACTAAAATAACGTTTACGTTTGTCGAACATTTTAGATATTCTTCTTCCTCACGTCGTACGCGATACCTCTGGCTATCATATGCATCCTGTACGTGCTGATGCTGATGAGACTGTGGAAAGGAGTGAACCCAGGCGGACAACCACCGTCGGCAGAGAGCAGGAGGGGAAAGAAACGAGTGACCCGAATGGTCGTTGTCGTGGTCGCCATATTCGCYTTCTGCTGGTTCCCGATACAGGTACGTACAACCACATTTAACACAATGTGTTCATCGATGTACAAGGTGATTTCGGCATTATCGTATTTTTGGTCGGCACGATGGCCCGAGTATAAATTTTCCCCTTTTGGGAGCACAATAAATTACGTGTGATTTTTTTTTATGAAACGTTGCCGTCGTTTATTTAAACTATACCTACTAGCTCAGTGGTTCTCACTAGGATTTTATAAAAGATCAAATATTATTTTTGAAAACCTCTTCCGAACCGCATAATTTTTTTTTGTCATATTTATTTTAATTTGTACAATATAAAATATTGTTACGATACGCATCACAATAGAGGGGGGATACATAAGAGGGCTTGGTTGGCTTGATTGAAAACATTATTCAATAATAGTACTACATGCTTACATTTTTAATGATAATAATTAAAAATATAAAAATGTACAACTGTTCACTGAAATTAGTGAAGAATAGAAAAAATATATTAATAATAATAATAATGATATGACACAGGATATTTTGTTAGCTCAGGTTATTGTAGGAAATATTCATGAATGACACACATTTTTTTCATGAACTTTGAAGTTTAAATTTTAGAATGTACAATTTAATTTTGGTACGGGTTGCATTCATTTTTTTAAATGCCACATGTGGCCCGGGGCTAGTAACTAGCTGATCCTGCACGGCGGTGTAGCCCGTGACAAATTAAATGGCTACGGATTTACTCCCCCCCCCCTTAATCTATAGCTTTATTGAACATTTAAAATATGTAAGCCCCGTACAGATATTTAACTAGCGTATTTTAGTTGCTCTGATTAAATACAAAATAYAGGTGTATAGTTATATCCAAATATAATAACCATTTTATCTATAAAAATTATATACCTATATATTTATGTGAACGTTTCGTGGAATATCACCTTTAATTTTTTACATTTGTAAAATATCATAGCGTTTGGCATATAAAATTTGAATATTTTTCAATTTTGAAACGCAAGAAGTATTACCTGTCTCTGCCCGAGTTAGGGTAATCGATCTATCTATCGTTTCTCCGTTTCTCCGTTATAAAATACAATAGCTGTCAAAACTCCGATAAAATTGGTTCATCTGCTTTGAACCCTTTTCTTGAAAAATAGATAGTAATAGACAGACAGAAAGCATATATGTACGTATTTTATACAATATTACATATTTTAATCGTGTACGTTTAAATCACTGCGTATCATAGAATGTGATAACTTTAATTTGTTATAAACATTGTAAATAAAATGAAAAAAGGTGGGCAAATGTCACCATTCTGCTGTTATACATTAAAATTTAAAATTGGTGTGAATTACTTTAATAGTGTGATGCGGATGTGTCAAATTGGAATTCAATAATATAACATAATTATATATATATATATATATATAAAAAAAAAAACAATTCTGAGCGAAAACAGTCCGTCGGTCTATAATGCTAAATGTATATTTTATGATAATATTGTACTAGTAAAACAGTGGGTTGAATTTATTTTTACTAAAATTATTTCATTTGATATACTAATTTAATTTAAAGTACTCACGAATAATTTTTAAGTTCTAAAAAAGATGGCTAAAATATTATTATTCTCATTTTAAATATCTAATTTCKTCCAAAGTTGAACTTAAAATWTCTATTAAAAGAATTTGTGTTCGAATAATTTTTAGACTATTTRCTTAGGTTTTTAAATCACACTAATAACATCTAATGAGGAACCTTTAATTAATTGTTAAAGTTTTTATAGAAATTTCTCTTTGACAATAATATATTATAATAATAAACAAAACTGTACAAAAATGTTAATATTTTTAATACTCGTTTAGTCGTAATATTATGCTTTGGCAAAACAACGCAAGTATTCAAGTTTGGTTAATTTACAAATGTTAAATTATGTATACATTGTAAAACGCTATAACTAAGTGAATTTTAAAATAAGTATAGACATGAAAATCCCGGAGCATCTTACTAAAATCTGGCAAGACATAATTTATCTTTTTGTTAACACAATTGAGCATGGAATATTTTAAGTTATGTTTAAACAGATGTCTTGTTAACTTTTATTTTCACGTATTTATTAGTTATATTATACGAGATATTATAATAAYATGCAGCGTATCTTATCTGATCTTATTGAAAATKTTATCTATTTAGTAAATATAATAAAACATTAATTTAAATAATATCAATATTACTACGTTTAACATAATTTTACTCATTTAAACATTTAGAAATTTGGCAATGGTCAAACATTCACAAAAATCATTTCAATTGTAAAAATATGTAACTTTAAGTAGTAAATAATTCCTAAATCGTTATTGAAATAATTAATTTTAAGTAGCGAGTGTTTAATCAGGCCCTAATAACTAAAATATTGTATAAAGGTATTATAAAAAAAAAAATAGGTACCTAAATATAAAATACGTGTTTACAATACATTTGGGTGAATACAAAAAA